CAAGTGCTAAGACTGCGAGCACCCTGTCAGAGGCGGAAAACCCGCGAGACCCGGGAGACCAAGGCGGTCCCCTCGAGTTTCGGCTCTCACAGGTTTCACTGTACATGTTTGGAATATTCTATAACAAAACTTAAAACAATTCTTAAACCTAAGTGATTCTGGCTAAAGGGCAAGACCAGGTTGTGGGGGTTAAGAACAGAAGCAGGGAGGGTGGCAGGGTGTTTGGGAAATAGAAAAGAGCCCAAAGAATAGTCACTTACATCCATCTCAGTACTCAAGGGTTACTTCTTTTCCCCCAAACAAAATGGGGATCACACGTGTGGCTCCATAACATTTTTTCATTTAGATTATTTCTTTAACCTTCTCTTCCATGACATCACCTTTAAGTACGGTATTCTGTGGAGTTCCTGGTGGTGAGCAGGGTTAACGCTGTAGCTCGGCTGTCAACCACAAGGTTGGAGGTTTGAGTCTACTCAGAGGCACCTCGGAAGAAAGGCCTGGAGATCTACTTACAAAAAATCATCCATTGAAAACCCCTATGGAGCACAGTTCTGGTCTGACACACATGGGGTTGCCATGAGCCAGCGCTGACTCGATGGCAATTTTTTTTTTTTAATTGTGCTTTAAGTGAAAGTTTACAATTCAAATTAGTCTCTCATACAAAAATTTATACATACATTGTTATGTGACCCCAGTTGCTCTCCCTATACTGTGACAGCACACTCCTCCTTTCCAGCTCGGATTTCCCGTGTCCATTCAACCAGCTCCTGACCCTCTCTGCCTTCTCATCTCAACTCTGGACAGGAGCTGCCCATTTAGTCTCATGTGTCTACTTGAGCTAAGAAGCACACTCTTCCCGAGTATCATTTTATGTCCCACAGTCCAGTCTAACAGGCAAGTGGTTTTTAACGCAGTCTGTCTTATGGGCACAATTTATGGGAGGCTACTGAAGCTGTTTCCTGTTTTCCACTACTATAAACATCACTATGCTAAACACCTTGTTAACAGATCTTGGCTAACAATCTATTTCTCCTCCAGGTTAAATTGTTAGTTGAAAGGTTTGCACATGTTAAAGTCCTTTACTAGATTTCTTTGCCAAGGGGCTGCAGAGGTATCCACACAAGTAGAGCAGGAGCTTGTTTTTCCACGTCCATGCCAACCCCGGGCACCGCTACTCTTCTTCATCTATGCCGATCCACCAGGTGATGAGTTCTACGTCACTGCCAGGGTCGGTTTTGTAACCCGTTTTAAGAATCCTTCGTTCATCCCTCCATCTCACCAGGCGGTCTGCTTAAGTGGGTTTCATCTCCGCCCGGACGGCGAAAGCCATGGTAGAGCAGTGTGCGCACGATGTTCAATAAACATTCACAGGGGGTGCGGCAAGCGGTCCCCAGAGCCCAGAAGCATCCGGCTTTCCAGGGAGTTCAGGTGGCCCTCAGTCTCAGCAGCCATCTTCCTTCTCACAGAGCTCCTGGGAGTGGCTGCAGGAGTCTGCTCTGCGCACGTGCGGGAGACCCGGCAGAGCTGGGATGGCACGCTACTCTTCCCAACCGTCCCTCAGAGCCACCCCAGTGGAGGAGTCACAATCCTGAGGCCGATGTTCCTCCAAGAGCCTCCTCTTCCTATTGGTCCCATTCCAGGTGGTTTTCTCTCTTGCTTACTTGAATCTTTCAAGGTTAAGCTCACCTCCTGTGGCACGACAGATCACTCTCATATGGCCTTTCAGGCCACGGTTTTGTAACTCCCACCAAATGACTGGGTGGGATTATGCAAATAAGGTGCTTGTGGCCCACCAATGAGATTGGACAGCTTGCTAATAATGCAAATAATATGCATGGCACCCTTGTAGGGGTAGGATATGCAAATAAGGTGAATGGAAAACTAATGAGGGGATTGGTCAGTTTTGCCATCTGGCTAGACTTAAAATGATCCATCCTAGAGGTGGGTAGGGGGTACCTCACTACTAGCAAGAGACAGGAGCAGAGCATCTCCTCTGAACCCAGGGTCCCTGGGCTGAGAACCTCCTAGACCCAGGAGACAGAGAGAGCTGTAATACCAGAGATGGTGCAAGACAGAAAGAAGTGGCGGTACAGAAATGGTGGCAGCAGTGGGCTTCCCGGACCACAGAGCAAGGTGGTTTGCCGACCCATGGAGTGAGAGCTGAGAGCCCTCAGGCAGGAGGCTTCTTGGAGAAGTGACGTGTCTCCAGGCACTTGCTGACAGAGCTAGGCTTGCTGACCCATGGAGCAAGAGAGCTGAGGGACTTCAGGCCAAGACTTACTGGCAGAGTAGGGTGCTCCTGGGCACTTACTGGCAGAGCTAAAGAGCTTTGTAACACTTGCCCAAGTAGGGCAGAGGCCGAGGGCGGAGAGACGTGCCTGCAGGCATGGCTGGAAGAGGCTGTCCTCATGGAAGAACTGTATCCTGGGTGTTCCTGATCCTGAATTGTAACCTGTTACTTCCCTGATAAACCCCATAACTGCCAGTCTGTTCTATGAGTTCTGTGTGGCCTCGCAAGGAATTACTGAACCCAATAGAGGAGCAGAGAGTGCCGGGGGAGGGATGACTGGTGTCAGAACTGGTAAAAAGGCAGGAGGGTGGAAGTAGGTCTGACATCCACCTCACAGCTATCAGCCTTGGGCTGTTGCTGCTGACAGTGATTCTCCTCCCCTTTGTGAAGTTAGAGGAGGAGGTCTGATGCTCCCGTGACACCAGTTTCACACCTCCTCTTCCTTAAATTTGCAGCACCTCCCAGAACCATGAAGCCCTGATGGAGGAGGGCAGGGAGGGGGTGCACTGGCAAACGTTGATGGGATGGGGAGTTCTCCCTTTGTGCTTAGAGTCAAGCCGACTAAGCGTGTGTGACAGCCCATCGTCCAACAAACCGCCCTTCTTCCTGGGGTCAGTCTGGGCACTGAGCCCAGTGTGGCAGCCGCAGCTGGGGCAGAACAAGGCAGCCAGCAAGCTCCTCCAATGTCACCACCACCCAAACAAACTGGGGAGCACAGAAAGGGAAGGCTAATTAAAGACCCACGTTGAATACAATGTGGCTGTGAAAAAGAAGGAAGTTCTTTAGTACCCAATTTACAATGACTGCCGAGATGTTCCTTGAAGAGAAAAGGCGGCAGAGAACAGGCAGATGGAGGGGCTGCGGAACGTGCATACACACAGATGCTCTCTGAAGTCTGCGGAGACCCACTCTGGAGTATACGGCTAGGTGGCTCAGGGCCAAGGAGGAGGCACATTTTCACTACATACTTCCTGGTACCTTTTGAATCTTGTACCATGTGAATGCGTTATCTATTTAGAAAAATAAATAAAATTTCCAAATAAATGCATAAATAACACCCATCCCGATGATGAACCTTTTTGCTATCAAGGGTCTTGAACAATGTATTACCCTGCTGACTTGTCTACTTGAAAGCAAGGTGAAGGATGTACGATTTTATTCACTCCTCAGCATTTATGGGGCATTTATCATGGGCCCTGAAGCTACAAGGATACCCTGCAAAAGACAGTGATTCTTCAAATCAGTTTTAATACATTCAGACTATGATGAAGGTAGCTTCAGATCTATTGGGAAAGAAGAAACTATAAAGCCAAAAGATTGGTGTTAGGTCCACCAGTTCTTTGGGGGTGGAAAAGCACAGGCCTTTCCCCTTCTGTTTCAATCAGATTCATGGGAGGGATTGAGCTTCCCACCTTAGGAGTGAAGTTCAGCCCACAACATTTGTACATTCTTGGGATGGAAAAGGTCTTCTTATTCAAGATACAAAAGATTCAATTACACAAAAATCCCAGTTCAACTCTCTCTACCTTCTACACAACTTTTCTGTAAATCTAAATCTATTCTGTAATTTAAAAAATTATTGAAAAACTAAAATAGAAAGAAAAAAAGTAGTTACTGAAAGATAATATACAATTTGGCAGCTATGGAATGAAGTGGTTATCCTCCATTTTGTGATATAATGTAATCACCTTCCTCATGCAATCTGTTGTCATCAGCCAGTCAGTTGTAAGAGGAGTTCCCTCAGGGGTGTGGCCTGCGTCTAACATAAATGGACGTTCTGGCAAAGCTCATTGGCTTTTGCTCGCTCTGGATCCTGCATTTGGCTAGTCATCATCTGACCTCCTGTTCTTGGGACTTGAGCCAGCAGCCTGCCATACTGCCTGCTGATCTTGGGATTCATCAGCCTCCATAGCCTGTGAGCCAGCAGCCTGCCGTCTGACCTGTAGATCTTGGGTTCGTCAGCACTGGCAGCTACGTGAGTCAGAAGAAGCTTCCAGCCTGATGCCTGACCCACGGACTTGGCAGCCTCTACAACTGTGTGATCCATCTCCTTGAGATAAATCTCTCTCCCTCTCTATATATACATGCTTTACTGGTGTTGCTTCTCTCGAGAACTCAGCCTAAGGCAGGTGACGTGGCTGTGACCCAAACAAGTACCTGCTCTGGTGGAGCTGACACAGAGGAGAGGCAATCGTAAACAAGAGAACAAGATAATTTCCAGCAGTGATAAATGCTGTGCAGAGAATCAAACAGCATGATGGATTGAGAATTTGTGTGTGTGTGCGGGCAGGGGAGAGTGGGGGGTCTGAATGACAAGAAGGAACTTGCCAGCCAAAGACGGAGGGGTGGGGGGGAGCCCCAGAGAAAGGAGGGCGGGCACGCACAGTCAGAAGTTAATTGTGCAAAGCAATTGTTCTGCAAATAAGACCATGTTTAGCAAATTAGGCTTTTCTTTTTTATTTATAAAGAACTCATTAGTGACTTTTATTTTTAGTCCTTTCTCCTGGGTTTTAGAAGTTGGGAGGGAGGACTGCTGGGGCTGAGAGGGGAGGATTCTGGATCCCTCCAGGACAAGCCCTATCCCAGGTGGGGTTGAATCCTGACCACCATGCAGATACCCCTGGGGACACAGCCCATGGACCCTGGCCCACCCCAGACCCGCGGGGGATGAGTGTCGGAGGGAGGAGGCAGAGGCAGAGACATGACCCACCTGCTCCGAGCTGTCAGATCCGGGAAGGACTGCACGAGAGCCAGCAGGTTGTGATGGTGGTCGGACACCCGGGTGAGGGTGCAGCACAGATGCCGGAGCTGCGGGAATGGGGGACACTGAGGCGGGGCTGTGGGGAAGAAGCCGCCCTCCACTCAAACACAGCGCCCAGCCCGCTCACAGGAGAAGTCCTAGTGGGTGAGAGGGGTCGGCACGGAGGCCGGATGGAAAGCGGTGTTCCCTGCACTCCGGTGACTTCCCAAGCAGTGCCATCCCATCAAGGGTGTCCTAGGGGTGATGTCCATCCCTCGTGACAAAGCTACCCAAGGCACTCTCAGGGCCTGACAGACGAGGTAGGGGCTGCGGCCTGCTCCGGAGTACCTTTCCCGGCCATTCCCGGATGTTTTCCAGCAACAGGAGCAGGAGCTGCTGGAGGTCCGTCTTGGGCACCAGGCGGAGCCCTACGTCCAGGCTGGCCTGGCACAGCAGCTCCATCAGGCCCAGGAGGCTGTCATCGGGGTAGGCGCCTGGCTCAGCTAGGGCGCACAGTGTCAGGAACTGGGGGGAAGAGGGAGAGCGAGGGCAGGGGAGCATGGAGGCGGAAGGGGAGAGGACTGCCCTCCTGAGGGATGGAGTCAGGGCAGAAGGGCTCAGCACTGCGACCCCCCACTCCCCACCCCCCGGCAATGCCGGGCAAGAGCTGAGGAAAGCGAGCAGCAAAGCCTGATTCAAGTCTCGGTTCGTGGGTCCTCAGGGGGCAGGCACAGACATGGAGAGTGGGTGCTTTCCATCAGGCCAGCCCCAGCATGGAGCACTCAGGAGGTTCTCGATGACCATCGCTGATTTAACTGTGGAATGGAGTCCCTGGGTGGTGTAAATGGTTAACGTGCTCAGCTGCTAACTGAAAGGTTGGAGGTTCAAGTCTACCCATAGGCTCTCAGAAGAAAGCCTGGCGACTGACTTCTGAAAACTCAGCCAATGAAAACCCTATGGAGCACAGTTCTGCTCTGACACACATGGGGTCGCAAGGAGACTCGGAATCGACTAGACGGCAGCCGGCTTTTAACTGAGGAACACATGTGGAGTGTGAGCACAGCGAGAGCGCCAGGGTGGGGGAGGCCACTCGACTCACCTTACAGATGTAGCTGAGGCTAACGTCCAAGGCCACCTCCTGGGCTGCAATCTGCTGCTCACCCCAGCTGAGGCTAGCTTCACTACAAAGTGCGCTAAGGTAAGGTCAGAAACAAAAAAACAAAACAGAAAGCAAAATATAAGGACACAAGACGAGGTGGACGCGATGGGAGAACTGTGGCAGAGAGGGAGGCCTACAGCTGCTCACGAACAGAGAACCCGCTGACGACCCTCTGCAGCCCAGCATGCCACATACCACGTCCCATGTATTAGTTACCTGCCACTGCGTAACAAATCACCCCGACGCGGTGGCTTAAGACAACAAACATTTATCATCTCTCACAGTTTCTGAGGACAAAGAATGCCAGAGTGGCTTGGCTGGGTGGTTCTGGCTCTCTCAGCCTCTCTGGTGAGGTTGCTGCCAAGATGCTGGGTGGGGCGGCAGTCCTATAAGTCCTGGCTGGGCTGGAGGATCTGCTTTCAAGCTCACTCATGTGGTCGCTGGCAGGCCTCCACTTCCTGCCACACGGGCCTCTCCGCAGGGTCCTGCGACATGGGAGCTGGCTCCCCCCAAAGCTAGTGTTCCAAGAGAGAGAAGGAAAAAGTCCAAGACAGAAGCTGCAGCCTTTTGTCACCTAACCTTGGAAGTTCCATCCCATTATTTCTGCTGATCCTATTGGCCACACAGTCGATCCATAACTTAGCATGGGAGGGAGCGACTCAAGGGCGTGGATTCCACCAGGAGGGGGAGATCACTGGGGAAGGGGGGCTCCTGAGGGTTGGTTCCCACACCCTGCGTTCAAGTTGGCCTCCATTTTTTTATTTTGGGGGCTTGGCAGCTAGAAAACCATACTCCCAGTCCCCCAGAAGGGTCTTCCTTGAAAGCGTTCTCTGTCCACATGGTTATGGTGCCTCTTTGCCTGCGGCTAGTTTTGGTTAGTTTCCAAAGTCGGCCACTAAGGTGACAGTCACGGAGGAAAAATGACTCTTGAAAACCCCTCCACAAGTGTCACTCTGAAGCTCGCATACTGTCTTGTGATAGGTCCAGCATGGCCCGCCTTCCCCGAGGGATGAAGCAGGTCTGGGTGGGCACCAGATGAAGTCAGAGGCCAGGGCTGTGTTAAAAAAAATTCCCTCTTTAAAGACCAGCATCCCACTCGGGGTGGGCAAGATGCTCAGACTGAGAGCCCTTCGTGGGAAGCTGAGTCACACGTCCCATTTCCTGTGCTTCCCAGCACGTATGCTCAGTGGATAAAGGCCCGAGCAGGGTCCCCTCCACGAGATTGTTCTCTCTCTGGCCAAATGTGCACAGCTGATTCCAAACACATCAAGGCAGTTTATGACAAGGCTCCTTTGCCGTCCGCCCACTTCTTCACTCTCAACCACTAGCCTAGAGCTCCTGACATCAACGGGCTCTCAGTAACTGAAGACGCGAGTGACAACAACGCTGTCCACAATAACGGCCGCCGGTGTTGCCACCCGGGCTGTGGCCGTGGGAAGGGCGCTGGGCCTGCAGACCCCGGCAAGGAGTCTCTGCTCTTACTTCTTTCTTGGCGCCGGTGCTCTTCCCCGAGGAGGAAAGACCTGTCTCCTAGGCACTCGAGAGGTTGGCACCAACAAACCGACACACGTACTCTTTCCTGGTTTTGCTTCTCTAGAGAAAGTGGCCTCAGACTTTGGTGAAGGGGGTCCTGGGGCTGGGCTTGGCCATTCTTCCAGATTTTAGCATTTATTAGGGCCAGGGCAAGGAGACCTGGTGGTGCAGTGGTTAAGCACTTGGCTGCTAACTGAAAGGTCAGCAGTTCCAACCCACCAGCCGCTATGCGGGAGGAAAGAACTGGCGATCTGCTCCTGTAATGATTACAGCCTTGGAAACCCTATGGGGCAGTTGTACTCTATCCTATAGGATCACTATGAGGTGGAATTGACTCAATGGCAACGGACTTCAGGGCCAGAGAAGAGGTGAGGCTGTCGTTTGCCAGCCCGGACGGCACATCCGGTACCTGCTAGGGGCCTGTGCCAGTACGTGGGGGACCAGCATTGGAGGTGCAAGGGGTATGCAACACGGGTGGGAATGCTTTCAGATTTCCCGAGGTGGGGGCGACCACAGAGGCGTCTTTGTGAGCCTGCGAAGAGAAATGAGCTTTCAGGCGGTTTGGGGCTCCCAGATGGGGGAGCAGCGCTGCAAATGTAAGCTGGGGGGGGGGAAGTGTGGCGGTGACAGTGACGGGAACCCTCCCCTCCTCCTCGTAAGCGAGGCCGACCTTCAGGAGAGAACAGTGGGCGGGCTGAGTGAAGGGGGCAGACAGCCTCCCTGCTGAGCCCCAGGATCTCCCTCTGCTTCTCCTCCAGAGCAGCAGGCAGCGGGTTACACTCCGACAGGCAACACAATGGGGTCCTCTATTCCCTGCCTTTCCAAGGCATCACTTGACCGAAACGTTGGCGGCTGCGGCTGCTATTCTGAGACCCGGCATCAGCTGATCCCCAGGACTCCACCTTCGCTGCTCCCAGCGTGAGGCCGTGGAGCACAGGAAACTCACAGCCCAGTGATTCACGGCTGCCCTGTGCTCCTCAGGCTAAGAATGGGCCGAAGGTTCCACCACCTGACTCCATGAGCAAAGGGGCTTCGTCCATGCCATTTCCTCCAACCCTGCCTCCTCCGTGCGGGGCTGGCACGTTAGGCTCCCAGTCTGGTGGCCAGCATCCGGGAGCCGGAGTGTGGGCCTCAGAGTCCCCAGGCGGTGCGAACAGTTAACACACTCAGCTGCCAACCAAAAGGTTGGAGGTTCAAGTCTGCCCAGAGGTGCCTTGGAAGAAAGGCCTGGTGATCTCCTTCTGAAATGGGAGCCACTGAAAACCCTCTGACACACACGGGGTCGACAGGAGTCAGACTTGACTTGACAGCAACTAGTTTTCTGTTTTGTTTTGTTAGGAACTGACCTAATACTTCAGTTTCTGTGTTTGTTTCCATCAAGGGCTGAAAACCATAATAAAGTTACTACCTGTACAGGGCACCAGACACTGTCAGAGTAAAGATGGTGAGTGAAGCGTCCGCATCGCCATGACTGAGAACAGAACAGCCGCAGCCACTGCTGTTCTGGGGGCGCCCCGCGGCCAGGGGCTCCTGTTCTACCAAACCAAACTGGATCTGACAGCTCAGCTCTGCTCTGCCAAGGCCAACGTAAGGAAGGGGACTGATGCTGAGCTGATGGAAGGGGAGAGAGAAGCAAGTACTTCCCAGGTCAAATGACACCAGCCACCCTCCCGCCTGCTGGGATGCTCTCTCCACGGAGTCATCCCCAGGTATTTATCTGCTTGGCCTCTGCACCCGGCAACAGCACCAGGCTGCTGTCTGCAGTGGCCACTCCGGTGTACCTGCTGACTGGGGCCCTCCAGCTGGGCTTTGTAATCAGGGAGCAGCCTGGGAATAGTGGCCAGAGCTACCGAAGGACCCTCCTGACTCCTCCCAGGTGAGCTGGGAGCACCGACAAGCGCATTCCGTGAGGGCCGCACCAAGCCCCCTCCGCCGCCGAGGATAAAAAGCCTGCTCACGCTCCTTCAGTGCTCACAGGTGGCATCGCCTCTGCCCTTTCACCCTCCCGATTTCACCCTCCCAGCTTCATCCCTGGGCAGAGGCCACTTTATTTTCAACAAGGTGGACAAGAGCCAGTCCACAGGATCCAGCTGCAGAAGGGCTGTATCTTTTTTTTTTTTTTTACCAATTCAACTTCGTACAGATGCACAACTTACAGACGGTGCCTACAATAATCGGCTGTGCAGCCCCACCCTTAATCAGTGTGATTTTCACATCACAGTAAACCAAAACTCAGCACTCCAGAGCAATAACCCCCCTTTCCCCTCCCTCCTGCCCCTCATAACCACTAATAAACTTCAGTATCTATACATTTGGGAAGGACTGTATCTTCTGGAAAGGAACTCCTGAAGCCCCAGATGAGAGATGGCAAGGGATTTTACGGAAAATCTGAGATTAAAAGCAAACAGTGAAACAACTGTCTTTCTCACGGCAACTAGAAACATACCAAGTATTTGGGGCCACATGTAGACATCTCAGTGCCCACTTCTAGCCTTGGCCATTACGAGGCTGTGTGTACCCTGGAGAAGCCCCCAGAAGCACTTACTCTGCCAGGGGAGCCTGAGATGGAGACATCCTTGGAAGCCAACGGAAAAGACAGAAGTGCCCGGCGTGGAACCAAGTGGCACGGGATGAGTCTCTGAGTTTATCAGGAAAAAGGATGAGGAGGACCGTGGGGGGAAGGCAGCCCTGAAGTTCCTCCTGTGGCCTGCACATCCATGAAGGATGTTGTAACCTCAGTGGAGGAGGTGCTGGAACCTTCTTGGTGCTCTCTGAATGCTCCTGGGGGGCTCGTCCTCCAACTCTGGGAAGCCAGGAACTTCCCCAAGCACATCAGCCAAGCAACCAATGACCCAGGAAACCTCCCCGAAATGTCCTTTTCTAGCTACCCCAGGCAGGATGCCAGAGGGGGACCCAGGACCTGTTTTTCTGCTTCTCAAGGCTGTGTTTAGGCAGAAGAACCTCCCCAGCCCGTCCTCACAGACTCTGCAGCAGCTGTGGCCCGTAGAGCTGCAAGCAGGGAAATCACCCCCTGGCCATCAGCCAGGATCCTCCAGGGCGGTTCTGAATCCTAGAGGGGAAAGGGTGCCAAGAGCCAGCCCAGGGCGTGGGGCCCGAGGGAAGGGGGTCAGGGGTCAAAAACAGCACGTCTGGGGGTGCAACCTTCCGCTCTGGCCGCAGGTCTGTGGGTCCTGGCCTGGGACAGCGTGGCTCTCCCTTCCTCCCCCACAGGCCTTCACTGCAGCCTGGTAAAGCTGCAGTCTGCACGCGGGCCTCTGTGCGCCAGCGTACTAAGGTGACACATTTACAGGGCCACCGTTCTCCTGCCTGTCTGCCCCACTGCTGCCTCCAGAGAGCAATCTGCCCTGCAGCAAAGGGCAGGAAGCTGTCCCACCCTGGGCGAAGGGGAGCAGGAGGGTGGTTCTTTGTAACAGAGCGCGGAATCAACCAGGTGGGGACGAGTCTCCATGCCACCTCCCACTCTCCAAGCTGACACCTGACGCACATCATAGCAGTGACAAGTGGCTCCTCTGACGGCCAAGGGTCCCGCCAGCTGCTCCCGCCCCCACACACATTTCTTCTTCGGAGTGTGATTCTCCCCCCCCACCCTCCGCTCATCCCAGAAGGTGTGACTTGAGCTCTGCATCAGGGGAGAGGAAAGTGGCTCACTATGCCAGATACGAGGAGGGAAGGGGCAGGAAGGAGGCAGGCTGGCACATGTGTGGGGCATCTGTAGCCAAAGCCAAGGGTGGTTGAGTGTGGCTTGGCAGACAATTACTAAACACAGTCGTGGAACAGGTTCTTAAGACAGTGCTGGCCCTCCCTGCAGAGGTACACCACCACCACAGCAGGGGCAAGGGTCCCCAGCACCCCCCGGGGCCCAGCAATTCCTGGCAGAGTGGGGGGATCCGATGGAACATCCTGTTCGGGGTTCTAAATCTGCTGCCATCAAGTCAATTCTGACTCAGGGCGACCCCATGTGTTACAGAGTAGAACTGAGCTCCATAGGGTTTTCTTGGCTGTGATCTTTATGGAAGCAGATCACGAGGCCTTTCTTCCAGGGCACTGCTGGCTGAGCTCCAAGTGCCAACCTTTCAGTTGGAAGCCGAGCGCAAACCACTCGCACCACCCAGGAACCTATATCCAGGGTTCTAAACACTCTGTTACATCTCAAACCAACTTCTCAAAGAATCCTCGAGACAGCGTTTGGATGTGTGATAATGTGCAAAACAAGACTGTGATATGTTAACACCTTTGCAAGCTGGATCCAGGCCTCACTATGTGAGTTACTGATATGTTGAAGGGCTCTGCTCCTAGAGGGTGGGGACAAGGCTTGTGAAAATTAGCATCTTTGTCTCTCCCCCATGTACGCAGCCTGGGGCACAAAGGAGGCGCTCTGCAAACGAGACCAAGCAGCGCTGTGCACAAGTTGGTTTTAGGTAACCGGGAAAGTGAAAGGCTTGGAGGCAGACTGCAAAGACGGGAGCATGTGTTGGAAAACACCAGGCTGAGAAGTCTGGGTTTCACTGGAGAAGTAGGGCCTCAGGCGCTCTCTGAGTTAAGCAAGCAGAGGAAACAGACTTTAGAAAAAGCAGGAGGTTGTGTCCATCCCTGGGTACGTGGCCCACCTGAGGGCAGAGGCACGGAGATGCAAACACCATTCACAGTGTGATACTTGGTACATTCACGGAGTCCCTGGTTGGTGCAAATGGTTCGTGTGCAGAAGGTTAGCAATTCGAGTCCTCCCAGAGGCACACTGAAGAAAGGCCTGGCGGTCTACTGAAAGATCAGCCACTGAAAACCCTACGGTGCACAGCTGTACTCTGACACACGTGGGTGGCCGCTGAGTTGGAGCTGACTCAGTGGCAGCTCATACTCATATCCACAGGTATTTGTGTGTAGGGTCCTTACCTCCCCTCAGACTCTGAGCTTCTCAGGGAAGGACTAGCTTTTTCTGTCTGATTTTCAGCAAGAGCTCCAGACACCCTGTGGGCCAGAGCCCGGGTTCGGTAGCTGTTGAACAAACGAGAAAACTTGACAAGGAAGGGGAAGGACTCACCTCCCTCCACGCTGATGTGGCCCCGCGGGGTACAGGGCAGGGCTCTGGGCTCCCAGGCCGTGAAACACCTCGATGATCTCTTGCAACGTGGGGCACCACATGTGAATGTCCCCTTCACCTGTGGGGCCAAAGCGAGGTGAGAGTCAGAGCGGGGGATGGAGAACACGGTACTGCTGTGGGTGGTGCTGGGACCGACAGCCTCAGGATTGCTGTCTCTGGCATCACAGGAGCGCCCGCAGAAACGAAGCAGCAACCAGCGGTTTTCTGATACCTCCTGAAGCTCTGACAGCCTGGAGGTTCTCTTATCTGGTCTCCAAGGTCCAGCTGCACTGAAGCACGAGGGCCCCACGAAGGCCACTACCCGGGTTGTGTACGCTGGGCGGCCGTCAGGGTGCTGCCCTCTAAGGAATGCCCAGAGCCAAGTGAGGTGAAGGGCCCTGAACCAGAGGCCCCCAAACTGTGAGCCTCAGAAGACATCATGTCAGCACCCCCGGGTACTGCTGAGTCCACCCGACTTGCCATGGCCCTGGCAGCGATACCTGGGTGTCCCAGGTCTGCATCCCTCCCGCAGCCTGGGAGGTGGGCTAGGGGTACCACCTGCTCTTGACTCATTTAATGAAACACGAAAAACCTTACGGACTCAGGGCTTCTTCTTCTGTCAGACTATTTAAGGATATTTTCAGAACCAGGTGAGGAGAAAAATAAAAAGCAACGCGGCCGAGGTGTTTCTCAAAGCTGGCGGCAGCAGCGCCCCGACTCCAGACGCTCTCCTGCTCTGTGGCCCCCCATGCCCTGTCCTCGTTCCTCCACAGGATCTTGTTCATTGATTTACTCGCTCATCTGTCTTTCCCCATAAGGATGTAAGCTCCCTGAGGGCAGGGACGGCTCTGTGTGGGTTGTCTCTGTAACCCAGGGCCCAGGAGAGGGGCTGACAGGCAGAGGGACCTGAACAAGTTCATGGATGGAGAGAGCCCAAAACGAAGCTGAGCAAGCAGGACGTGACTAAGAGGGAAGCCGAGAACAAGTCACAAGATGAGTAAGCTAGCAGCATCAAGAATGAAAATGTTCAATTTAACAATTGGCAAGTGATCAGGATCAGGAACTTGGAAGCCAGGGCTCAGGACACATAAATAGTGCACACATGACCTTCCCCATTCTGAGAGTCCTAAGGTCCCACTTTAATTCACCTCACTGCGTGCCAGCGTCTTAGTCATCTAGTGCTGCTATAACAGAAAGACCACAAGCGGATGGCTTTAACAACGGGAAGTTTATTCTCTCACAGTCCAGTAGGCTAAAGTGCAAATTCAGAGCGTCAGCTCCAGGAGAAGGCTTTCTCCCTCTGTCAGCAAGTCCTTGTCATCAAACTTTACCTGGTCTAGGAGCTTCTCAGTGTGAGCAGCCAGAGCCCAAAGGATGCGCTCTGCTCCTGTCTCTGTTTTCTTGGTGGTAGAAGGTCCCCGAGTCTCTCTGCTCGCTTCTCTTTTATATCTCAAAAGAGACTGACTTAAGGTACAACCTAATCTTGTAGATTGGTCCTGCCTGGTTAAAGTAACTGCCTCTAACCCTGCCTCATTAACATCATAAAGGTTAGGATTTGTAACACAAAGGAAAATCACATCAGACGACAAACTGATGGACAACCACACAATACAGGGAATCATGGCCTAGCCAAGTTGACACACATTTTTGGGGGACACAATTCAATCCATGACAGCCAAGAACCAGTCATTACTGCCATCTCGCTGATTCTGACTCACAGTGACCCTACAGGACAGAGGAGAACTGCCTCGAACGATTTCCAAGGCTGTAATCTTTACGGGAGCAGACTGCCAGGACTCTTCTACCGAGGAGCGGCTAGTGGGTTCAAGCCACTGACCTTTCCGGTTGGCGGCGGGGCGCTTAACCACTGTGCCACTAGGGCTCCTTGTCAGGAACCAGGCCAGGTGCTAAAGATAAAAAGGTCCTTAAGGAGCTCACAGTCAAGGAGGGAGAAGAGACAGACAGATGAATAAATACAAGAACGTGTCTGCAAAAACCCCAGCAGGAAGAAGGTACAGAGCCTGCTCTCGGGAGGGGACACGCCACAGGGAGCAGAAGGGGAGAGCATGCCCGCAGAGGAGCAGCGACAAAGGCGGGAGGCATGAGATAGCACGGCAGGTCCAGGACCTGAGGCAAGGGGCACAGAGCAGAGAAGGCTGCAGGCAGGGTGGATGCTCCCAGGACCTCTGGGAGAAACAGCTTCTCAGGCTCACCGAGGAGAGATTTCAGCAGCAGTCCCGTGCAGCTGCAGAGCCGGGGCACCCTGGAAGGGCGGGCGGAGGGTCTCTGAAAGCTGCCCAAGGATATTTCTTCAGCCAGCATCAAGGGACTCTCTCTGGAAGTGAATACGGGTTGGGCTCACCAAACAAGTAATTACAGACTTGGAGGACGAAAACTTTCTTGTTCATTTTTTTCTTTTTGGGCAACGTAACAAGTATGAGCATGGTAATGATACCCCTTGCCCGCTTCACGAGTGAACTGGGAAGAATGAAGTCTGTGGAGCACAGTGAGATTCGGCTGGCAGGGGAGGGCTGCTTGTAGGGCCTTCGGGGACCTTGCACATCCATGCATGCACGTGTGGGGAGGAAGTTTCCAGGGATGGAGGGTAAGGCCTGCACGGAAAGACGATCAGCCGAAGGCCAGGCTGGCCCAGCTGGGCTGGAAGGTCCTGCCGGCACAGGGCGCTGAGTACGGCCCCCTCCCCTCTGCCCACCCAGGCCCTCGCAGGTGCAGCTGCTGCTCTAAAGCACCTTGGCCAGTGAGCGAGCAGCAGGACCACCGACACGCCAGCTTTCAGCCCCGAGTCTGGCGTTCTCCGTTTTCCCCGTTCCCACCCAGAAGCTGCTCCACACCACAGTGTAACCCAGGCTCGGGACACATCAGCCCCATCAGCAGCCCTGGAGGTCGGCTAAGTGACAACGACGACAGAAAAACACCACAGAGAGCCCATAATTAACGCTGCCTGTAAGTAGGCCATGTGCTCAGCTTTTCCTGAGCGCTGTTTGTCCCACATGAAGGTTTCCTGGAGAGCTGACACAAAAGAAAACGCCAACACGCTGTCTGGGAGTCCCTGGTGGCCTGGGCACCCGTTTCTCCACACACACAACACAGCCATCTGAGGTTAACTCCGCAGGGGCGCCCCACGGGTACGGGGCCTTTTAAAATGCCAGCACTGGCTGCCCCAAGCATCGGGGCAGCAGCTCGGCCCCACACCGCCCACCCCTGCCGGGAGGCTGTGAGTCTGGAAGATTCCTTTTAGGTTGTTCTCCTTGGAGGGAACTGATGCTTGGGGGCGGGGAGGAGAGGCAGGGGAAGAAAGTGTTAGGTTTAAAGTAGAAGCCACTTTTCCATCTGTGCCTCAGAAGAGCTGTTACTTCATGTAAGGCCACAGCCCTCCCTCCACAGCACTGTTTGCACGGAATGGGAAAACCACGCACAGCACCATGCGGGCCCTGGCCGCTCCCACTCAGGCTCCTGCGCCTCTCCTCCTGCCTCTGCACCGCCCCGTCCCACCCCTAGGTCTCATCTGAAAGAGGGCTCTGCCTTGCGGGTAAGGCCCCGGGCAGCAGGGTTCACAGGCTGCAGGCCTCTGTCTTCAAGGGGCTAAAAACACCCATTGCAGGGCTGCGGCCTTGTTGCAGACCTGTCTGCCTGGGTCCTGATTCTCTCAGAGGCGGCCCAGTGCCAAAAGGGGGACGTGTCTGCCTGGGTCCTGATTCTCTCAGAGGCGGCCCAGTGCCAAAAGGGGGGCGCGTCTGCCTGGGTCCTGATTCTCTCCGAGGCAGCCCAGTGCCCGTGTCTGCCTGGGTCCTAATTCTCTCAGAGGCGGCCCAGTGCCCAAAGGGGGGCGTCACTGTATCAGTATAGTGTCAGCAAGCTCCTCGCCGAACAGATGGACAGCCCGGATCCCAAGTGGAGCGTGGGGCTCACAACATGTGCTGTTGCTGCTGGCTGCTGTCCAGCCAGACCCCAAATCATGGCTACCCCATGCACTACGGAACTAAACGCTGCCCAGTCCTGCCCCATCCTCACGATCGGTGTGGACTGGACCACTGTGATCCATAAGGTTTCCAGTGACTGATTTTTGGAAGTAGATCACCAGGTCTTTCTTCCCAGTCCATCTTAGTCTGGAAGCTCTGCTGAAAGCTGTTCAGCATCATAATGAAATGCAAGCCTTGAGTGACAGATGGGTGGTGGCTGTACGTGAGGTGCATTGGCCGGGGATTGAACCCAGGTCTCCAGCATGGAAGGTGAGAACTATACCACTGCCCTTATCACATTTAGGGGGCTTAAAGTCTTATCGTTTCTGACTCTCCCTACGTGCATTCCTTCCTTTCTTTAGCGCTTCTGCATTCAATGTTAAACTTGTTTCCACAGAGTCATTTGGCTTTAGCTTTAATCATTTAACATCTTTATTCATTCAACAAGTATTAATACATACCAGGGGCTGTTCTTAATACTGGGACCCAGCAGTGAACAAAACAGGCGAAATCCCTGCTCTCGTGGAGCAACACTTTGGCAGGGTAAGCAGATGACACACACACGGAAAAGAAACAATGACATCGGGAGCCACAGGTGGCACAGAGAGGATGGAAAGGAGACAGTGCAGTCAGGACACGGTGGGGCGGGGGCAGGTCCCCAGGAAGCAGGGACTGTGCTGCAGGCAGAGGAAGAGGTGCAGAGCCTGAGGCCAGAGCACGTGTCCTTGTTCCCCTGGGTGGTGCAAACAGTTAACACACTCAGCTGTTAACCAAAAGGTTGGTGGTTCAAGCCCACCCAGAGGGTCCTCAGAAGAAAGGCCTGGCAATCTATTTCTGAAAAATCAGCCACCAAAAACCCTATGGAGCACAGTTCTACTCTTGACACACATGGGGTTGTCATGAGTCAGGGTGGACTTCATGGCAGCTGGTCAAGGAGCCCAGGTTGGTGGAGCGGGTGTAAGGCCCAGAGAGGGGGTGAGGGCAGAGAGGCAGCAGTGGGTCAGGCCCGGCAGGCCCGGAAGGCAGGGGGAAGCAGCTGGCATCTGTGAGGAGTGACGTTACCACACCGATACATGACGTGGTGAAAATATGAAATCCT